AGATTTCAGACCTTATATAGTTTTAACAGTCCCCACCTACCAGAATTCCAGAATGGCTAATAGCCACTAATCAGCAGGAGAGATCCTTCTTACTTATAGTCAACTCAAACCATTGAGAAGACAGGTCATCTTTGACCTACAGTTGTCTTAACAAATGAACAAGATCACACGATCCAAGAAAACTGGGGTTACACAAGTTCAACAGCATTCAGCCGCCCCAGATTCATAGGGTTTTCACTCGACACATGACCAAGGAGGGTAAAGAAGAGAAAAATAGGGAGAACTGTACTAGTCTGTTCGATCTGTTCTTTGGGTTGATCGATCTTCTCTTGACCATTGGGTTGATCGATCTGCTCTCTTTTAATCAGCATTCCCGCTCTAATACTATCTTGACAGTGTGGCCGGCCAGAGATAAGAGGAAGAGAAGAGAAGAAGAAGAGAAGAGAAGAGAGGAGAGAAGAAGAAGAGAAGAGAAGAGAGGAGAGAAGAGAGAAGGTTTTGCAATGTAACAGTACTGGCGGCGCTAGTCTTTATTTTACTACATATAGGGCGACAGAAATAACAAGGGAAAAGACCCTTGTGCCCCCGAGTACAATAACAGACATAATAGAAATAAAAAAAAAAACGAAATAAAAAAACACTTTAATTAGCCAAACATGCCCTAACATCTGCAACTAAGTTATTTTAACATTATTCTAACATTTCCCAAGCAAATGTCTCTAAATGGTCAATCTCCTGCCATAGGGTTTTAAGGTTTGAAAAATAGGCTGCAACAGGTCTATCTCCCTGCCTTGTAGAAATAATTTGATTTCTCAACTGATAAGCCCTAGCAACATTCTCCCTCTGTGAATAGGTTTTTGCAATCCCATCCCATATTTCCTTAGATGTATTTGCCCATAAAAAAATTTTACTTATATGGGGCAACATGGGATTACACAACCAAGTCATCACCATATAATTCTCTTGTACCCATCGGGAGTTGCTAGTTTCGGGTTTCACTTCTTCACCAGTGATATACCCTAATTTCCCACGAGCACCAGTGGCCATCTTTGTAGATTGTGACCATTCTAAGTAATTTACACCATCCAACCTAACTGTAGTAATGGTCCCAGTTCCAAAAAGGTCTCCAATACCTCCTCCCACTGGTCCTATTTCACTACCGGGCTTATTTTCAACTCCATGACCCTCCATCCTTCTCAAGAAGTGTAATGAAAATAACTAAAATATGCAAGAAGATCAAATGAAACACTTTTGGAACCAACAACACCTTTCTGGTGTCCTAGACCGTCTTCCCACATTAGATTCTTTTTCTGTGGGACGGGAGAAGAGGCAGTCGCTCTCTCTAGAAGCCTCAAAATCAGGCAGGACTTGAACCGTCCCTTATAGAAAACTCCAAGGAACCCTAAAAAATTAGGGCACTACTTTCTAGGTCAAAATTGAAGAGTCCAACAGAAACAAGACTCTTCCCCTTTCTCTAGTTTTTCTTGATTTTGATGAGAAACCCTAGACCAGCTACAGGGCAAACGGATCCACCAAAAAATCCAAAAACTGGGCTTACCTGAGATCTTCGATCAACCTCTTAAATCACCATGCAGTCGGCCGATCTAGGGCTGCATGAGAAAACAACTCGAGGAACCTTCGGCCTGCTTTGATACCAAGTAGAAATCACTGATTGCAGATTTACTCGAATTTCTTGTGAAGGGAAAGAGGAGGAAGATGAAGATTTCAGCAGTAGAGAAGAAAAGAGAAGGAGAAAAGAGTAGGAAGTCAACCAGGATTCTTTGATTAACCCTAGCCACCAACCCCTCATTATATTTATACTTAACTTAAAGGATGAGATATTACAAGGATGCCCTTAGTGGGGCGGCTACTAATGTAGCTGAACAGTCACAACTTAAAAACATAAACTAATGGGCCTAAAACCCAACAACTTCCTAACTAAATAACTTAAAACAAGAATAAAAACAACTAGGCCCAACTCAACAACCTGTTAACTAGGTATTTCTAGCAGTGCATACGGCTGCTCAGTGATTTAAAAGGCGCGCATAGGTGCATAGGCGGGGTGCATTTTAGGGTATGTGCCTCGCCTAGGTCCTAGGCGTAGCCCTTTCAAAAGGTGCACACCTTGCATCTTTGCCTAGGCATGCGCCTTTTTAAAATTTTACACTTGTGTGCTTTTTTTGAACCTAATGGCTGGTCTGGGGGCTTTGCTCTCGGGCTCCTGTACCACAACTCTCGAGGCTAGCCCACCCCCTATTTACTAATGTTGTTCATTCATTCATCCTATAAAATATCTTCTTAAAAGGCAATTAAAATTACAAAATCATTATTTTTTGTGAGAATTAAGAATTTAAGACCATAACATGGACCAGTGTTTTAAAAGCGAAAGGCGCACAAAAAGCGGCAGGTTCCAAATGCGCCTGAGGTGCAAGGTGCAAGGCGCAAGGCGAGGCGTCTGCACAAAATATTTTCCTGATTCTAAGAAATCAGGAAAATATCAAAAAACAAAGTGGGGGAAGAAAGAAGCAAAGAAAAAACTAAAAATAAAAAAAGAAAGGGGTCGAGCCTTGTTTTACTGTTTTCAAATTCAAACTAATATTTGTTGTTGATAAAAAAATATTGTGTAGCCCCTGTTTTAGTGTGAAACAGACAAGGGGGCGGAGACCCTCTTTTACTGTAAAAATATTTCAGAAGAAGAAAGACAATGAAAAAAAACAAGAGTGGCGGAGCCCCTGTTTTTCTATGAACAAGAAGAACTGAAGAAGATGGAGGAGGAGAAGAAGGAGAAGGAGAAGAAGAAGAAAAGAAGAAGAAGGGGGCAAGCGGAACCCCTGTTTTCAGTGTAAAAAGAGAAGAAGAAGAAGGGGGCGGAGCCCCTGTTTTACTGTAAAAATATTTCAGAAGAAAGACAATGAAAAAAAACAAGAGTGGGCGGAGCCCCTGTTTTTCTGTGAACAAGAAGAAGAACTGAAGAAGAAGGAGGAGGAGAAGAAGAAGGAGAAGGAGAAGAAGAAGAAAAGAAGAAGAAGGGGGCGGGCGGAACCCCTGTTTTCAGTGTAAAAAAAGAAGAAACAAATACCTGATGCTGATTGCTAAAAGCCTGAACGTTGCAGTTGGTCGTCCGACTAAGAGATGGGCTCTGATAGAACTTCAAAGGTGGCTGTTCGATTGAGAGATGGGCTGAACTTGTTGATCCAAGAAGAACGTGGGGGCTGAGGGCTCGAGACTTCGATTGATACTGGGAGTCTGAGAAGCCTTGAATGGCAAGTTGTTTTCTCTTGAGAGGGCCGTGGCTTTCTTTCGTATTTGCTATACCATATCCCAACTATTTTGACACATAAAAGGAAATAATCTATACATATACGATTATAATCAATCTATAAAAGTCAATTTAAAAACAAATAAAAAAACAAAGGGCAACCAAACATAGGCGCGCACCTGGACCGCTTGGTGCCTGGTCTGAGGCGCACACCTTAGGCACAGAGGCGAGTGCCTTACCAAAGTGTAGCCGCCTTGACCCATGCGAGGCACCAGCTCTCGAAAACACCTCGCCTTGTGCCTTAGGCGCGCCTTTTAAAACACTGACATGGACTTGTTTGGGCTTGCCTCGAGGGGTATGGCACAAAAGGCGGCTCGTAGAATCAGGAATGTAATATATTTTACATCACATTAGCTACTTGAAGTAATGCAATTGAGGAGAAAAAGAGATTGTGGGTTTTACATGCTTGAAAATGTTTTATATTTTTGCTTTTATTTTTAAATTTTCATTTGAATACGCTTTACATGTTATGTTTATATATGTTAATTTTAGATAATAGGTTTTTTAAAACATTTATTTTAAAATTTATGTTTTATATTTTTATTAATATTATGTTTATTTTTTTATTTTTTTTTTTGTATTTTTGCGCTTTGCTTCAAAAAGGCGCACACCTCACCTTGCCACCTTGTGCCTCGGCGCAAATTGCCCCTTGCGCCTTTTTTGCACCAGCAACTATTCTGGGCCTCGGAGATTTTTCCAAGGAAAAAACCCTAGAAACAGTTTCAGTTTACCATAACCAGCAGCAGCACTCTTCTCTTGTTGTTCCAACAATAAAAGAAGAAGTTTGAGAAGAAAGAGATGAATAAGAGGGTAGACGAGCAGAATAAGAGCAGATTACAGCTCTGATACCATGTTTGTATCCAGGTTCTTGATGAAGAGAGAAGAAGAAGAAAAGAGTTGGAGAATAGGGCAGATTCTTCATCCAACCCATCAAATTGTTATTTATATTAGGGCAACAATAATACATGAGTTGACAAATTTACCCCCCATTAGTAGGAGGTAATGTAACTCAAAATATAAGAAGGCCTAGGCCCATTTACACTTAAAATCAGTACAGAATAATAAAGCCCAACAAGAAATAGAAACCACATAACATAAATGGGCCGAAGCCCATGCTGTTAAGTCCCACAACATTAAAGATGTACTTTGTTCTTATTCTCATTCTACAAGTCTCGGATTGGATTTGGGCATGCAAATGTGAGACAAGAATGGACTAACTAGGCAACTATACAGAAATAATCTCCTTGTTAAATGCAAGGCATCTAACATCACATTATCTATCCTCTTGTTGAAGTTTCCAACTGTTCGTTTAAGTGTTTTTGAGAGAATCACAAACTTAATGTCAATTTCGGGAAAGTTGCATTGTGGGCATTAATATTGAAGAAAAAAATAAACGTTTCTTTATTTGATAGAAAGATATCCATGGAACCAAGCCCCTAGGTGGTGCTTAAATTATTCCTAGATAGTCTTTCATGGCTATAATGCCTTGTAGCCAAACCTTCATCTAAAAAATTTCTGGGTTTCTTATTGAATGGTGAGCTGTCTATTTGCCATTTTTGAGTGTTACTGATTTGTCTTATATGCTTCATCCATACATCCACTGCCTGAAAGTTGTGTCTTCTACATTATGGGGCTTATGTTGATGCTGACCTTGTTTTAACAAAGTTATCTCTTATTGCAGGTTTTAAATTGTCATGACTCAGTGATTTATATATTAGCACCTTTAAGATATGCCACTGTGTATGGGTGTTCTGATGCAACTATAGTTCTTGGGGCCATTGGCAAGGTATGCATTGATCAAGAACTTAAAGTTATTGGCTTTTGGATATCATAGTTGCATCTCTGACCCTTTGCCCTTTCTCTAGAGTAAAACGTTTTAACCTCCCAACCCCCTGGGCAAGCTTGCACCCTGTTTTCTTTAAAGAGTCAATATTATCTGAAAGAGAAAAAGAAAAGGTAGGGCCTGTCTATTTGCAGGTTCATTGCAATACAAGGGGTGATATAGATGACATCCCTGGGGTGCTAACAGGTACTTGATTTTTCAGATTGATAGCTATAAAGCTTTAGTTAGATTAAAAAAATGAGGAATATACAATATGACATGCTTCAAAGAACCAATTTAAAAAAACTGAGGTATATATACAATATGACATGCTTCGAAGAATCAATGTGTTACAACTTATGATTTACAATGTGATTAATGATTTGAATCATGAATCCCAAGGGTTTCGATTTGAATCTGATGTCCAAATCCTTTTCTGCAAAAATCTTATGATTTTTGCTTGAATCATATGAATTGATTTATAAATCTTATGATCCTACATTCACCATGATTTTTCAATTAAAAACGAAGTTCCCTACTGCATTTTTTGTTTATATGTAACTTTGTCAAGGGAGATTTCTTTTGAAGCCCTTACTGGAAAATAATTTATTTACATTATTTAAGACCATACATTGAGTTTATCATCCATCACACATAGGTTAAAGAGCCATTGCATGTGGATAATTTAACTTTCAAGTCAAACTTGATTATATCATCTTAGGCTTCTATTATACAAGTAATAAATTCTGTTGATTTAGTCTTTTATATACATTACATATATAGTAGATATGGATTAAAAATATGGTAAAATCATTTTCCTATATATATTTAGCCTTTTCGAATATTGATATTTATTTTTGACAAGTTTGTAAAAAATAAAATTAATCTTATGATTTATTATATGATTTACAATTTGATTCAATTTAACTTTCTTTACGACATACAATATGATTATGATTTTCAAAACATTGCCAAGAATGTTGACTGGCCAGATGCTTCACACAAGTATTGGCTGCTGTATTTCATCCATCAAACAACTATTAATGAGTCCCCTTCCTGACATTTTTTTAATCCAAGGACTTTCGCAAAGTTTTAGTCCAATGTGCAACTTTCACAACTATGTTCTCAATGATTGTCTCCTTGATTTCTTTCCTTCCTTTGAAAGTTCTTTCATTCTTCACTATGATTCAAGCAAATTTAATTAAAAATTAATTCTCAATGGTTGTTTCCTGTTTCTTAAAGACTCTTCAGTGGAGGCTTTATCTTCAAAGAGTCTTTTGTTTGTTTCTTCCCAGAGGTTCTACATTGTTCTTTCCTTCCTTTGAAAGTTCTTTCATTCTTCACTATGATTCAAGCAAATTTAATTAAAAATTAGTTCTCAATGGTTGTTTCCTGTTTCTTAAAGACTCTTCAGTGGAGGCTTTATCTTCAAAGAGTCTTTTGTTTGTTTCTTCCCAGAGGTTCTACATTGTTGCATGGATAGCTGCCTTCCAGAAAACCTTGCTCCTTTATCACAACTTCCTACCTTGCCATTGGGAAACGAACTCACAAACAGAATTAGGGGGGACCTAATGGAAACTGCCTTCAAAGAACACATATCTAGCAGATGTTGCCATAAGCATTGGTCCACCTTACAAGTTATCAGAAGATGACTAATTGATTCACTATTCTCAAGGCACATAATGCAAACATGGGGGGAGAGGTACCACTGCCCTTGCCTTTTTCTTTTGTAGGATATCATAAGTATTTATTTGACCGCACATTGCCTCCCAACGGAAAAAGGAAATCCTTTTGGGAATCATGGAATGCCAAATCCTTCTAATCAGTAAAGAAGGGGAAGGAGACTAAGAGGTCAGGCTAAGGAAAAAGGATTTGGTGGAGAAGTAACCAGTGGGGGTTAAAGACCTGATTAATTTATCAGGAGAGGAAGGGGTAATGTAGACATTAGTCAATAAGGAAAGAAGAGAAGACAGCTCAACCATTTCTTTTCAATATTGTTATGGAGGCATTGAGTAAACTTGCATATAGGGCAGTGGAAGGAGAGTTTGTTCAAAGTTTTAAGCTTATGATATGGAGCAAGTTTCCTTCATATTGTAGATGACCCCATATTTTTCTGTGATGTTTTTTTAGCTTATCAATTGGTTGACTTGGGTTACATATTAAGGTAGTTTGGAGTTGCTTCAGGCCTCAAAAGTAATTTATTATAAAGCTGGTCGGAAGTTACTTTAGGCTTCAAAAGTAATTTATCGAAGCATGAAATAATGCTAACAAGGGAAGGAAACATAGAGTTAGACTGATTAGCTTGGTCAATAACTTGTATAAAATCATTGCTAAGGTGTTGTCATGTAGAATCAGGGTTTCTCTTCCTTCCTTAATCTCTCATTCTGAAGGTGCTTTTATTATGGGAAGGCAAATTATATACCAAATTTTAATTGCTAACAAAAGTGTTGAAGATTTGAAGAGGTATAGGATGAAGGGTTTGGTGTATAAATTGGATTTGGAAAAGGCCTATGACTTGGTTGATTGGGGATTCTTGTTGGAGGTAATGAGCAACTTTGGGTTTGGTGATTGGTTGTGTAATTGGATTTTAGGGTGCCGTAGGACTTGGCACTACTCAATTTTTGTGAATGGATCTGTGGTGGATCATTTTCAGGCCTTTAGAGGGCTAAGGCAGGGGGATCCTCTCTTCCTTTTTTTGTTTACTCTAATAGCTGATGTCCTTGGAAGGCTTATCTCTAGGGCTGATTCTAGAAATCTGATAAGGTGTTGGAGAATTGGCAGAGAGGAGATTCCTAATCACTCATTTGCAGTTTGCTGATGATACAATTTTGTTTTGTGATGTTGGTGATCCTAGATGGGTGCAAAACATGAAGATAATTATATCTATTTTTGAGAGAATGTTGAATTTAAAAATCAGTTGGGATAAGAGTTGTATTGTGGGGCCGAATATAGAGGATAGAGGAATTTTAGAGGCAGAAGAAATCTTGGGTTGCACGGTTTCTCAATGACCAATGAATTATTTGGGAATGCCTATGGGGGATAATCCTAGTGGCAGCAACTTTTGGAATCTGGTAATAGAGAGTTTACTAAAAAGTTGGCTTCTTCAAAGAAAAATTACTTATCTTTGGGAGGAAGGATCACCCTTGTTAGGTCTACTCTAGCCAATTCGCCAGTTCTGGGTTTGATTGGGGCTTGGGGCTCAGAAGAGGATTGTGAGACTCTGAATTAGATAGTGCCGTAACTTTGTTCCAAGGTCTGGAGAGGGTTTTCCTGGATCCCTCAAAGAGAAACTGGACCCTTTCCCCATCGGGTATTTTTACCTGTCCATCCTTTTTATTATCCTTAATCCAACTGGGTGATAATTTGGGTCAAACTTTTCTGGTTAAAGAGGTCTATAGTAAGCCAATTCCTCCTAAGATTGGTGGTTTCTGTTGGGAAGTGTTTTTGGAAAGGATTAACACCTGTGACCTTATCGGAAGAAAGAGACCTAAGTGGTGCTTATCCCCTCATTGGTGTATTCTGTGTAAGGGCTAATGGTGAGTCCTGCCATCACTTGTTAATCTCATCCACCTTAGTATCTTCAATTTGCGACTGGTTTTTCTCCTTGTTTGGGTGTAGGTGGAACCCCCTGTCAAATATACAAAGCTTATTTGACCCCTCCTTTGTCAGTTGTCAGAAAAAGAAGGGTCAAACTTCATGGAGGTGTATCAGGGCTGCTGTGTGTTGGACAATATGGGAAGAGAGAGATGAAAGATTCTTTGCAGAAAAAGAGAGGAGTAGGGATGCTCTGATTGAAGTAGTCACAGTTAGTGGTCCATTGGGTGAAAACCTTAAAATTATTTGAGGATATTTTTGGTGTAGATTTGTTGAGAAGTTGAAGGTAGTAGCTGATTATGCTCCTAATAAGGTTGTAACAAGACCAAGCTGGTCTCTTCCTTCCAATGGTTTTATTAAGCGAAAATTTGATGGCAAATATGAAAGGAATCCGGGTCCTTCAGGATTTGGAGGAGTTTCCAGAAATGGACTAATTGGTGTGGGTGACTCTTTGAGGGATGAAATTCTAGCTACTTTGGAAGGGGCTCAAAAGGCCAAGGAGATGAATTTTAGAAAATTAATAATTGAAGGGGATTCAAAGTTGGTTATCAGCTGGCTGCAAAAGGAAGAGGATCTAGGTTGGTGGGAATTCATTAATGAAAAAAGAAGGTTTAAATGGGTAAGACAGGAAATTCAAGTGAACCTCAATTGGGTGAAAAGAGATGCCAACTATCTCACCGATGCACTAACCAAACAAGGGGTGGGAAGAAGACAGTTATTTTGGGTTATGTTGTAACATCTTGAAATTGTTTGGGGAGAGTTAAGAAAATTTGTCTCTCCATTCTCTTTGTACTTCTGTTTTTTAATTAATGAATGTTTTTTTTCTCAGTTTTTCATCAAGAAAAGGGAAGGAAACATAGCTAATCAGTCGATTGACATCTTGGGCTGCAGAAGAGTGCAGTTACCTACCACCTACCTCGGTCTACCCCTTGGTGCAAAAAATAATCTAAGAGAACATGGGATGTAGTTCTTGAAAGGTTTGGTAGGAAGCTGGCCATGTGGAAGTCCAAATATTTATCAAAGGGTGGTAAACTTACATTGATTAACAATGTTTTATTTTCACTAGTAATCAATACTTATCTACTACTTGTCTTTATTTCGAATTCTTGTTGGAGTTGCAAGCAATTAGAGAAAAAAATGAGGACATTTTTATGGGTTAGTTGGAGTAACAATTTTAAGTTTCATTTGGTGAATTAGAATGCTGCGTGCCGACCAAGTAAATATGGTGGTCTTGGTATATAAAATATCAGAAAAACTAATTAGTGTCTCTTTCTTAAATGGTATTGGAGATTTAACATGGAAGGAGGAAGTATGTGGAGAAGAGTTATAGCAGGTAAATATGGGCTGACAACCTCAGGTGGGATTTTGGG